AGGGGTGTCAAACTCAATTAAAACACGGGCCATTTGGTGCAACAGGCAAGGTTCACGCGGGCCACATCACATTTACAAATTTTGTTAAATTTATATTCTGAAGTGAGGATTCAGGAATATGGATAGGATAATTAAAACACTATAATTGCTTTTATTTAAACGTTTATTTTATTTAATGTATTTATAAAACTAAAATTATTCTTTTTTACCCGAGTGCTCTTTTTAACCTTTTCGCTATTGGGATCTGTTTACATTACGTGACACTGCGAGTGGCAGACATATTGCTTCCAAACATCGCCGGAACTGAGTCAGGCGACTCCGGAAAGGCACTGGCCCACAGGCCCCCCAGGAAAGGCACTGGGTCGCGTGTATACTCGTCTTCAGTAGTTAAAGGGTTAACGAGGGAATTGTGTGTACGGTATTGCCTCGATCTCCCCTAAGCGCTATTTTCTTCATAACAATTTTTTCTATTTTCATTTTATTTCAGAGCATCGTGGGCCACAAAAAATTACCTCGAGGGCCGCATGCGGCCCGCGGGCCGCCAGTTTGACACCCCTGCCTTATCTCATCCTCCTCTCAAACACGAATGATTCCAAATAGTTTCCTCAGGTTTTCTTGCCTCTGCCTCCCCAGCTTCAATCAAATCCATACACTATTTTCAGGTAGCATACTTTTACCCTGTGGCTTCAAAACTTCCAACTGCCTAAAGGAAAAGTCTAATGTCCTTACACTGGTATTGAGGGCACCGTAAGGACCCCTTCCTCATACAGCAAGCGAATCCAACTGAGTTTTTAAATCTGATATAGTAACCTACCACTTCTCCTACTCAATATGTGACTGGCACTATGCAAGGCACGAAGACTGGCACACTAGACGGTGTTGAAGGGCATAAATATGGTCCCTGAGGCTAAGCAGGGATTAGCTAGGCAGGTGTGAGTGAAAGGCTTCTCTTAAACATTGGTTTAGAAAAGGACATGCTTTACGATTCCTGTTATCCCTGCTCTAAACACAGAGCGATGATAGATTAAATCTAAAAAAGGAAACAGATGCATATAGAAGCAAGATAAACATATCCTTGGGCCAGAAAGAGAATAAAATCACAAACACGGGTTATTAGCCTCCTGAATTCCAGATCCAACAGCAGTAGCTCCTTCAAAGCAACAGAGAGGCTTAAAGATGCCTAGAGGCAGGGAACTACACCCAGACTCAGGAGAATCCAGCAGCTGGAGTGAGGCTTCCTTCCCACTGTAGAAAGGAGGGTAAAAAAATAAGGCTGAGACTTCTGCCTAAGGCTAAAGATTTATAAAGTTGCTACTAAGTCAGAAAGATGGAGACAGGGAATCATAGCCAGAACCCTTATGATGAACTTAATGACTTGTCCAGCAAAATCCCCACTATCATTGAAAGATGGGAGGTTGGAAATGCTAATATAAGGCTAATATAATGGTAGTATAAGCTAATATAAGCTTGGACTGGAGTCTTGAGACGGTCAGGTAGAAGCACTCACATCATTAAGGAGTTAAGGGGAGGAACTTAAAGGGCTGGTGGGAGAGGGCAGCTCGCGCTCAAATGAGCCTGCAAACTCCAAAACTCATGAGAAACTGAGGATGAATTTAGCAACATAAAATTAATGGCACAATCTACAAATGACTTTGAAAGTGTTTAGGGCCTTCAAAGGAGGCAAGAATAATAACCATAAGAATAAATAAGAAATCATGAAATATAAACATGCAGAAACAAAAAAGGACCAATAGATGTGAAATACATAGTCATTAAAATAAAAACCTCCCATGAGATAACTCTGGACTGGAAACAACTGAATAGTTAGAGAGTTATAAAATACTACTGAAGAATTTACCTAGAATGCATCAGAGGCAGAAAATATTAAAAAGTAGTTAAGAGATGTGCCTGGAAAACAGATTGAGAAGCTCACATACAGGAATTCTGGAAGAACAGAATAAAGGAAATGATAAAGAAGCCATTTTTAAAGACAAAATGGTTGAGAACTTTTCATAATTGAAGACAAGCTCTCAAGTTAAAAACTGCATGTAAATGTCAAGCAAGGTATATTATTTTACATATACCACTCCTAAACACAATACACTGAAACTGAATAGCACTGCGTACAAGGATAAAACCTTACAGAAGTGGAGGCATAGACATTTGGTAGAGGAAAAAGCAAATACAAAGACTTTGGGATAATAAAGAGATCTGTATGTTTGAGAATAGTACTGCTCAAGGTGTGGTCCACAAATTCTGTTACTCGTCTGTTACTGTGAATTAAATGGTTAAAATATCCACTAATCCCTAATCAAAATTCCAGTGACATTTTTCATGAAAGTAGAAAAAGCATTCCTAAAATTTGTATGAACAACAAAAGACCTTGAATAGCCAAAACAATCCTGAGAAAAAAGATCAAGGTGGAAAGCATCACACTTCTTGATTTCAAAATATATTACAAAGCTATAGTACTCAAAACAGTATGGCACTAGCATAATAACAGATACATAGATCAATGGACAGAATATAGCCCAGCAATAAACCCATGTGTATATGGTCAATTAATTTTCAACATAGGGGCTTTAAGAATATACACTGAGAAAGGATAGTCTCTTCAATAAATGGTGTCAGGAAAACTGGATAGCCACATGCAAAAGATTAAAACTAGATCCATGTCTTACATCATACACAAATATCAAACCCAAAGTGGATTAAAGACTAGAATATAGAACTGGAACCATAAAACTCCTCAAAGAAAACACGAGAGTAAGCTCCTTGACACTTGTCTTGGTAACATTTTTTTTTTTTGGATTTGATACCAAAAGCAAAGGCAACAAATGCAAAAATAAGCTAGCAGGACTACAACAAACTAAATCATGAGGGTGTTAATATCCAAAATACATAAGGAACTCAAAGAAATCAAAAGCAAAAAAAAACAAATAACCCAATTTAAAAATGGGAGAAGGACCTAAGTTGACATTTTTTCCAAAGACATAGAAAATGCCCAATAGGTTCATGAAAACACTCAACATCACTAATCATCAGGGAAATGCAAATCAAAATGACAATGAGATATTATTTCACATGTGTTAGGATGACTATTATACCAAAGACAAGAGATAACAAATGATAGTGAGGATGTAGAATAAAGGGACCCTTGTACACTGTTGGTGGAAATGTAAACTGGTATAGCTGCTACGGAAAACAGTATGGTGGTTCTTCAAGAAATTAGAAGTAGAACTACCATATAATCCAACAATCCCACTTCTGAGTGTATAGCTAAAGGAAACAAAATCATTGTCTCAAAGAGAGAGCTGTACTCCCATGTTCAAAGCAGTTTTATTCACAACAGCCAAAGTATGGAAACAACCTAAGTGCTCACTGATGGATGAATGAATAAAAGAAAATGTGGTATATAGATATACAATGGAATATTATTAAGCCTTAAAAAAGGAAATCCTTTCATTTGCTACAACATGGATAAACCTGGAGGGCTTTATGCTAACAGAAATAAGCCAGACAAAGACAAATACTGCATGAAGTGGTTTCCAGGGACTGGGAGTGGGAAAATAGGGAGAGGTTGGTGAAAGGGTACAAACTTTTACTTGTAAGATGAATAAGGTCTGAGGAAGTGATGTATAACATTGTGACTACAGTTGATAACACTGAATTGCATAATTGAAATATGCTAAGAGGGGAGAACTTAAATATTCTCATACACACACACAAAGGTAATCATGTGAGGTGATGGATGGATATATTAATAACTCGGTAGTGGAAATCCTTTCACAATGTATATATATATATATATCAAATCATCACACTGTATACTTTAAATATATTACAATTTTATTTGTGAATTACACCTCAATAGAGCCAGGGAAAAAAGAATACATAAAATAACTTAAAAGGAAGCTCTAAACATCAGTGAAAACAACTAACAATCTTTATATTTACTTCCATTATTGTTTGACAGGCACTTTCAAGGGTAGAGAATCCAAGTAATCATTGTGTCAATTATTACACCGTAAAGAACAGTTACAATTAAAATTTTACGACACTTAAAACTGATAAATTGGCAATATATAATAGCATGGCAATACATTAAATCTAATGACAAGTCAAAATCTAACAACAAAATGATGACAGTTCTATAGAATGGGAGTATTCTTACCCATATACATTAAACTACAAAATGCTAAGCTCTAGTATTATCATTAAGAATGATACTGAATTATCCCTATCCCTAATCCTATAAACTGATCAAATTGTATATACATTGAATTTTAGGAACAGAAGTTTCCTATTTAGAAGAATATTTGGCAGGTGAAATAAATTTTCAAAGAGATACTAAATTAGCTATTTCTAGTACCGTGTTTCCCCGAAAATAAGACCTAACCGGAAAATAAGTCTTAGCATGATTTTTCAGGATGCTCATAACATAAGCCCTACCTCAAACATAAGCCCCAGTTAAAATCGTCAGCCAGACATGACTGATTGAATAAACGTAGATTTTTGTACATGAATAAATGAATAAATGTAGATTGTTGGAGCAAAAATTAATATAAGACCCAGTCTTATTTTCAGATAAACACAGTATATGTAACCAGGTTATTGGAAAGTCATCTGATATATAGATAGCAACAAAATATCTTACAGTATGAATCCAAACTCCAAGCCCTCTTGATTTAGATATTAGCTGATATAACTACTGTTTTCCACATTGCTTATTTTGGGGTTAAAAGTAAACCATTAAAATTATTGAAAACAGCATTCAAAATACAAGGATATTTCATTAAAATCTCATCCAAATATCAAAGTTAAAAGAATCAAGACTATGATCACAATTGGGAACAAATATTAAATATGTAAACTTAATTATAGTAATCCTAAAAATGCTCTTGGCTAGCAAAATCTGTGCCTTTCCTCTGATTAACTAATTTAGCAAAGTCTAACAGTATACAACAAGGTAATGACACAATAAAACAAGTTTGTCTTACCTAGTTACTTTGCAGCTTGACTCAATCAAGTCATTTTCAAGGTCAAGCAGGCTGGAAGGCATATTATATTCCAATGGGGATGTCAGTCGTTTCAAGCGCAATAGACCAACACAAAACTTCGCTCCCATCTCTTCCAATTCTCGAGTACCAATCTGTAAACCCTAAAAATAAAGCAATATTATACATGTAACTAGGATGTTTGCTATCTTCTGCCTGTCTCTCATTAAAATTACATAAAAGGAATTTATAACTATATTAGTAAAATTAAAAGGTTGGTGCTTTTTATAGACCTAGGATTCAACAAACACAATGTATCTCTTTTTTATTTTTTTTTTTTTTTATTCTTTTTATTATTAGTTTCAGGTGTACAGAACAATGCAATAGTTATCTTTTCACCCCTCACAAAGTAACAACCCCCTTCCCCCCATCCACTGCCCTCCCACCCCCGATGTCATACTTATCTATTTTTAAATTATTATTAAATGTATTGGGGTAACATTGGTTAGTAAAATTATATAGGTTTCAAATGTCTTAACAATATCAGATTTCTCTCAGTCACAAAGGAAACTGACTTAGAAAACCATTTCTAAAATATCTATTCTTATTCACTATATGCAAACTATTTTCACCAATATACTTGGGAGAAAACAAATAGATAAACATTTTATGGTTATGTTACTCTTGGGGTTCATGTGTGAAATTATATTTTTACAAGGTTTTACTAATATTTATAATCCACTACATTGGATGCCAATCTTGGGATATTAGTGTGTTAAAATCAAGACTCCAATTTATATACTTGAACATTACCTTAGGGGTACTTTTACTGTATGATAAACAAGCAAAAGTAAGGTAACTACATCAAAAAAATAAATAAAAATCAAACAAATCTAAGCCAATGAGGTAGTAGTAAAGTAAGTTCCTATGTTCCACATCAATTAAGAATGCCCATATCAGGCCGGCCAAGCGGCTCATTGGTTAAGAGTTGGCTTGGGTGCACGAGATCTGAGCAGCAGGGTCGCTGGTTCAGATCCCACATGGGTCAGTGATGCTGTGCCCTCTACAGCTAAGATGGTGAACAGCAGCTTGACCTAGAGCTGGGCTGCCGTGAGTCGCCGGCAACAGCGTAGGCTGCGGTGGGTCTGCAGTGGGTTGCCATAAGCTACCATGCGTGGCTGGCAGCCAGTGTGAGCGGCCGGCAGACGGCGTGAGCTGCTGTGAGCGGCCGTCCAATGGCCGGCGACTGATCTGCCTCAGCCGGGAAGAACGTAATGATCACAATACCAACTTGGGCCAGTGAAGCAACGTCCTCCACAACTAGACTGAAGACCAAAAGGACAGCAACTTCTCTTCCTCTTCCCTAATTCCCCAATGCTCTTCCCTCCCCCAACTCCCCAATAAAATCTTAAAAAAAAAAAAAGGAATGCCCATTTCAAATTTTGTCTACTAAAGCAAAGTGAAATTTTACCACAACTCCCATACCCTTTTTTATCCAACAGTTTTTAACAACACAAGGTTTACCAAAAGTTAAATGTAAGCATATAAAGGGATAAAAATGGACTATAAATCAAGATATTGTTTATTGTTTAATTTTCAGATAAAAATAAATAAAAAAGAAGTGAAATTCTTACACCAGTAAAAGGTACAGGTGTAGATGAGAACTGACATCACTTGGAGAGAAGGTACTGTAAAATAGCTTTTCAATGACCACACTAAAAGCACAGTGTAACTGAAGAAAATATATTGCAAAAATTGTTACTTAGCCTACATGCAGTTTTGCCTTTATGATAATGATTGATTGACTAATTGTTTAGTCTAGCCATTTCCAAATAGTCTAGGAAATGTGACCTAATTGACTTTATTAGAACATTCAATTGCCTTCTTAATTTAAAAACTTTAGGAAGGCCAACCCTATTTCTAAATTAGTGCATAGAAAATAAAAATAAAGGTTATTTATAGCCTAAAATACAGTAGTATAAGAACATTTTTTCAGGTAAAGAGATCTGTTTCTTAAAATATAATCAGACTCACACAACTTATTACCTAACATTAATAAGTTTGAAAAGTATATGTCACATGCATGTGTGGGGATGGAGGTAGATGGAAATTCTGTACTTTGCACTCAATTTTTCCATGAATCTAAAACTATTCTAAAAAACAAAAGCTTATTAATCAAAAAATTTTTAACAATTAAAGAGAAGTATATGTTACAAAGTATTGAATTTTAGACATAAAAAAAAAATTGGCTTAGTAAGACACACTTGTCTCCATAAGAGTTTTGGAGAGATGAATGACCATTGGCAAAGTTGTCCACTAAAGCAATGATTAGGGCACAGGGTTGGGGGCTAGAATGGTGCTCATGCTACATTTTATCTCTCACTACCATCATGCCTTTGGGTAGACTAGAAGTCATTGTTTTACAGTATCTGAAGAGAATTCAAAAGATATTATATTTTGGAAGAATAGTATACTATGGTTAACCTAAAATTTAGGGAAGAGTCATTCAATAGCAAGTACTGCAATTTAAGTTCTACTCTACTAGGGGCCGAAGTGCTTGAAAGCCTGTTGCAAAATCTATACAATTTTCTTCCAGTTTGTTACAGACTAAAAAAGTCATTATTTAGGTTCTCCACTTAAACATTTTGACATCAACAATGTTTACATTTTTAATATTAACCAACTGGAAGATTTTTAACCCTTTCCAAACATAAAGTTATAACCATCTTTATGTGAGGTTATATGAAAATCACTAAGATTCAGTTTCCTCTTGCCCCATGCTACAAAAACAAACCTAAACAAAACAGAATGAGTGGTATAATTAGCATGACACCTGAAAATCTTTCTATGGCAAGGCAAGGAAGATAAATATTTGGGTTTTGCTGTTGCTTATCTAAGGTCCAATTCATTGCCAATTAAGTTCTCAATCTTTAAAGTTAAAAAATTCAGTCACCTAACATTTTATTAGTCTTTAATTTCAAAAGTAAAATTTAAACTCTTGTTGTTTCCAGTAAAAGCCTACAACACCACAGAAGAGTAGTCTTAGTAAAGAAAAAACTTTAGTGAAGGAATATGCATTTAAAAGTCACACACAAAAGAAACCTAAATATAAAAACTTTATAAATAAGTATGTGTTTATTTCTAAATGCATAAAAGTATACTTACAGCCAATAAATTAAAATGACAGGAAAAAATTTAAATATGTACCACAACATGCTTTCTTAAAAATTATGAATATAAATAGACTTGAGCAATATTTCGTAAGAATCCACAGAAAGCTATTTAGTTCAGAGAAAATTTTAAAAAATGTTTTTAAGACTGCATATGATTCAATTCCATTATTGCAAATTACATATAATTCAGTATAACAAACATATCATTTAATATGTACTTGAAAACTATTGAAGTATACATGGAAAGTTTTCAAATATTTTTTATGGCTAGAAGTCCTGAGATGTTTTACCTTATATTTTCCCTGATCACAGCCACACAAAGTACTCTCCATGGTGTAGCTTCTTTGTACTCCTATCTCCCTCCAAACTACAACACGTGCTGTGGATTCTTTAGATTTTTCCACTACGAAGCTACAGCTGCTCATGCAAAATGCTGGGGCAATATGGCTCAGTATCTTAGGCAAAGTCTGCAAAGATAAGAATGATAAGATATTTCAAGAATTTTTTTTAATTAAAAATTTTAATTATTAAATTTAATTTTTTTTTCATAAAAGCAATAGTAATTAGAGCAGGAACATGTAGATCTTGCTATGCCCCCTGCTATTCAAAACATCAAAATAATTCTGTTACTAATTTAGAATCTTCTGCTTTCCTAGACAAATAGTAATCAGGTAGAAAACAAAATGGAAGAAAGTACCACATTCATAATTGCAAACAATAAGCAGAATAAAACGATGTAAGAAAAACATGTTTAAAAACATGATGAAAAAATGTTTTAAAAAAATAAACTTTAGTCATGAAAGATGGCTTTACTAATTAAGTGACTTACACTATAAACGTCAAACATCCCTAAATTAATCAACCAAGCTAAGACAATTACAATAAAAAAGTCAACAACATTTTTTTGCAATTTAAAATTATTCTCAAATTCACCTTAACCTGTAAATATGAGAATACACCCTGGGGAATTCTGAAAGACAAGGCTATTGACTAAAGAAATAATCCAACAGATGTTAACCTAAATTATGTTTAGGGTTAAGTTAAATTGTGACACTGGTGTAGGAATGGATATATCTCTAGGAAGAAAAAGTTCAAAATTAGAACCAAAGGTATCTGCTAAAGTTAGTATTATTATTACTAGAGAACAGACTGATCACTCACTAAATGCTGATACAACTGGATACCACTGAGAAAAACAAGCCACAGTCAGTCACTCTTCATTAAATTAAATTCTAACTATATAGATTGAGAATTTAAATTTAAAATTATTAAGTAAAGTTTTAAAATGAAACTAAAAACAGTAAAGTAAACATAGAATTATACTTTTAAATCTTGGAATCAGAAAAGTCTTTCTAAGCTTCAAAACCTAGAGACCATTTTTTTTAAAAAATCAGCAAATATGATGAAAGTTTTAAACTACTATACATGATAAACAAAAAATTTTGTAATATACTTGTAATATGCATAAAGAATTTATTTTAAAAACAATAATAATTAGATGACCAGCACAAAAGCAAGCAAAGAATATGAGAAAAGGCTATTTTAAAAAAGAGAGAGGTCCACTTCATGGACGGTGTAGAGGCCTGACCATTGCACTGTACATCTGAAGCTGCCATTGAATAATTTATATGTCAACTATAATTGAATACATATATAGTCATGGGATGTGGAGTAGAGTGTGGGAATGGAGTCAATGGAATTGTAATAGATATGTATGATATCGGGAGTGGGGGGGGTACTAGGTGGGGGAGGGGGGTTGTCACTTTGTGAAGGGTGAAAAGGGTAACTATTGCATTGTTTGTACACCTGAAACTAATAATAAAAAAAAGATATGAAAAAAAAAAAAGAGAGAGAGAGGTCATAACTGGTCAAACATATGAAAAGATACTCACCATCATTTATAATTATAGATATGACAATTAAAACCATCAGGTTTTTTTTTAACCTGGCAAA